TGTGTGTGTGTGTGTGTGTGTGTGTGTGTGTGTGTGTGTGTGTGTGTATAAAATGTAAATGGAAGAGAACCTCAGAGGGTAAATACTAAGTGGAATGGTTGAGCAAGAGGCAGGAGTTCAGAAGTAGAGGTTAGGGATAGATATAAAGATGTAAGAATTATCTGTACAGTGACAATCGAACCTGAGTCTCAGTTTCTCATCTATAAAATGAAGTAGTTGATTTAGATGGCTTCTCAAACACAATCAGGATAACACAGGATTTAGCAGCTTTTACATTAAGGGACCGTAGGGACTGTAAGGCTTGGAATATGATATTCTGGAGGGCAAAGGAGAAAGGATTACAAGCAAGAATCACCTACCTAGTAAAACTGAGTATAATCTTTCAGGGGGAAAAATGGACATTCAGTGAAATAAAAGACTTTAAACATTCTTGATGAAAAGACCAGAGCTAAACAGAAAATTTGACTTTCAAATCCAAGACTCAAAAGAAACATGAAGAGGTAAACAGGAAAGAGAAATCATAAGGGACTTATTCAGGTTGAATTGTTTACATTCCTGCATGGAAAGATGATTTTTTTAACTCATGAGACCTTTATCAATATTAGGGTACTTGGAGGGGAAAAAATTATATATATAGATAGATAGATAGATAGATAGATAGATTGATAGTTAAATAGTGGGCACAGGGTGAGTTGAAATTGAAGGGGTGATATCTGGAGAATAAAAATAAGGAGTGAGAGAGGCTTATATGGGGAGAAGGAGAAAGGGAGAGGTAGAATGGGATAAATTATCTCACAGGAAACAGACAAAAAAAGGCTTTTACAGTGGAGGGGAAACGAGGGAAGGTAAGAGGGAATGAGTGAATCTTATTCTCATCGGATTTGGCTTAAGGAGGGAATAACATACACACTCAATTGGGTATGGAAATCTATCTTACCCTACAGGAAAACTGGGGGGGGGGGGGGACAAGAGACCAGGGGGATGATAGAGGGAAGGGTAGATTGAGGGAGGGGATAATCAGAAGCAAACACTTCTAAGGAGGGACAGGGTCAAAAGAAAGAATACAATAAATGAAGGGTAGGATAGGATGAAGAGAAATATACTTATTTTTCACAACATGACTACTATGGAAGTGTTTTATGCATGACTACACATGTATAACCTGTATCAAGTTGCTTGCCTTCTCAATGAGGGTGGGTGAGGAAGGAGGAAGAGAGAAAATTTAGAACCCAAAGTTTTAAAAACAAATGTTAAAAAGAAATTATTTTCACATGCAAGTGGGAAATAAGATATACAGGCAATGGGGTACAGAAATCTAAACTGCCCTACAGGAAAACTGAAGGGGAAGGGGACAAGAGAAGGGGGGGAGAGACAGAAGTGAGGGCAGATTAGGGGAAGGGGTATTCAGAATATATGCCATCTTGGGGTGGGGGGAGGGACGAGATAGGGAGAAAATTTGGAACTCAAAATCTTATGGAAGTGAATGTTGAAAACTAAAAATAAATTAATTTTAAAAAAAAAGAAAAAATAAATAAATAAATTACCATATGGCAAATAATTGCTTTGTACCATTAGGTAAGTAGAAAAACTACAGACCACCAGTTTTTCAAACAAAAAAATGGAATGGTGCTCTAATCTAATGCCTACCAAATTTAAGCCCTAATAAAAACTAAATTACTGGAAGAAAATATTCCAAAAACATTTTAAATATACATTATAAATCTTCCCATAAGAAGTCATATTATATGTATACATACATAAAGACATGTTAAGAAATACCCTATGATGGAAAAGTAATGGGGAAATGAAAGTGGTATTAAGAAAAAGAAAAAGGCATCAATGAATTATTTTTTAAAAAAGAAATAATCATAAACAACAAAAAAATCTGATAAAGAATAAATTAAGACACAACAAAAATGCATTTTAAGGCACAGAATTATCCATGAAGAGACCTAACTATTTTGATGCCTCAGATGCCTCTAAACTTTTACAGGTGCTGACTGTTTACAAAGCCACAACAGGCCCCTCATAAGAAGGTGAACCACCAAGTCATGAATTTCTCTGGTCATGAGCTACTCATACAAACTAACATAATTAGAGGTTACAATTGATTTCAGTAGGAATAGCTATATTTATCAAATCATGGAATTTTTGAAGTATTCAAGTAGTTTGGAGATATCTGATGAAGTGATATAAACAGTTTAAGCAGTGTTGTTTAGTTTTATACCAAAAATTCACTCTAGTAGAATCAACATTACTTGGTTATAAAGATATTCAGCCAACTGGGAAAGCAGTGTCATGAGATAGAAAAAGTTTAGATAAGAGTGAGAAAACATGAATTCAAATCTAGATGATCTTGAGGAAGTGGCATATTTCCTAATATGTAAAATGAAGAGGTTGGAAAAAATGACTTCTAAGGCCCTTTTCCAGTCATAAATCTACAGTACTAAAACATTAACAAAAAAAGACCAACAAATAGAGCTTGATCTGGAGGTTTAGTAAAAAAGGGAGAATTATTGAAAGTTATCTTATCACACTTATCTCTTAATGAGTAAGAAGTAAGTTAATAATTCATTAACTTCATGTTAATGAATTATATCTATTATATATATATATTATATATATATAAGATAATTATATCTAAGGTTTTAAATTATTTAAAGGTTAGAAATTCAACCCACCATCAAGATGATACTTATGTTAGAAACACTGAAAATAGGAAAAGAAAAAGATCAAATAAAACCAAACTATAAAACTGCAAAATCAAATAAAAAAAAATTACAGTATTACATGACCAGCACAGAGAGTACAACGGTCTTATTTTTGCCAAGACCAAATGGTTGTGATCATTACTCAAAGTCTGTCCTCCCTACTGGTAGAGAGGATAGAGTCTTAAGAAGCCTTTTCATTCCTCAAGGTATTTGGTAGAATAAAAGTGCTTCTTAAAAACAAAACAAAACAGCAGAAGGGAATAAGAGTGTCATCTGAAAATGAAGGGGAGGATCCAAACCCACGTCAAGGGGAGAGAGGAAGGCAAAATGAGACCCAAAGAAGGAAGGATAAAGAAAAGTTACTGAAACCTTGGAGTAGCACATAGGTGGGTATCCCAAAAGTCTTTGTGCAGCTTTAAGCTTTAATGGCTTCTGTTTGAACGACTCTTCCAAAAAAAGAGGTAGTGACACTCCCTGAGGAGAAAGTAGTTATTTGTTTCCAAGGAAGAATGACATAAATAAGAGAACAGGTGCTGTAAGATGAGAGGTTATCTAGTAAAGTAATCTATATACTCGGCACAAACCCCAAGAAGATGAAAGATAAAGTGAAAGGTCTCATTATTTACCCAAACATTTCGGTAGTAAAGAACCAGAAGAAAAGTGGGTTCCCATCTATTAGGGAATGGCTGAACAAACTGCTGTATCTGAATATAATGGAATATTATTGTACCATAAGAAATGATGAAAGAGGATATTTCACAAAATCCAGGAAAATGGGAACTAATATAGGATGAAATAAGCAGAAGCAAGAGAACAATTTGTACAATGACAACATTATAGAGAAAAACTTTAAACCACTCAAGATATCTGATCAAGGCAACAACCACCCCATACCTCCAAAAGACCGAAGATAAGATAAGTGATGGAATAAGGATGTAGGAGAGACACAGCCACTGCATGGATGAAGCTTATTTGTTAGAGGCATTAATTTTTCATACCTCTCTGGTTTTTAAGTGGGGATAAAGATCTGCAGGAGGGAAGGAAGCAATGGTGATGTCAAAAAAAAAAGGAGAAAATAAAAAGGTGGAGAATCACTGAATTTTTTTTAAAATGCATAAGAAAGAAGCAATGGAAGTTCAGAAGGAAGCACAGATAAGTGGGATAGTTTTAAAGTAATGAAAGTTGATTTTTATTATAATGAAACAAGCAATACAGAATACAAATTCACAATTTTATGTACAATTCTTTTTGCCTTCTAATTTGTATATAAAAATTCTCCTTTTTTGGTATTTAAGTTCAAAATAAAAACAGGTTTTAAAAAAAAGCAAGCTGAGATCAGACATCTCATAACAGAGATCCACCACAGTTTCGTGTAGTTTTTCTGTTCTACTACATATATGAAAATGTTAGGGGTTTTTTGGTGTGTGTGTGTGTGTGTGTGTGTGTGTGTGTGTGTGTGTGTGTGTG